ATCACAAGTGTTTGTCTGCGCACCTTAATCATCCGCGCCTTAACTCTTCCCCCTTCTTTCTGTGAGCTGGCCTAACCATTCATAGTGGCCGTAAACATATCGCCCGCTTGGCTGGTCTGTCGAAAGTCATTACGACTAGTATCATTTTTATGGAAGTTATTTTAGCATAGTTGGTTTGCTTACACTTATCTAGGCCACAGCATGTTCCACTAATATTGGGAACCAATTACCTGCATTTTCAACCGCCCACATCGTTGACCCATGTACAAATAATGCAGCCCGGCCAGCAGGATGAATGGATCGTTGGTTGTATTTCTACCTGCTGTTTCACAGAATTTTGAAAAAATATATTATATAAGTCGGACTTGTATTGTTATGCACTGTGGTGTGAAAGTGAGATATTTTCATTATAGTGTTGCCTACAATTAGCCATTAGAAAATTCATGGACTCATATCATCTTTTCTGCAGCAATCACTTCCGTAGATAAATGAATCGAAGATTTTGGCCCGATCCTGTAATTTCTGTAAATGTTTGGGCGACAGTCTCATACGCGATCAGATCGTTTTAGGAATCAATGATGAAACTACGACAAAGTGGTTTTTGCGTCAAAGCAACTTATCGCTCCAGCAGTGCATTGATATTTGCAACATTGAGTCCTCAACCACCGATCAATACCAACAAATGAAGCTCGCAACAGATGCGGAATTGTGTGCCGTTTCCGGAGCGGTAGCAGCGAAGGTTACTTCCGTGAGACAAGAGATCTGCAAATTTTGCGCCACGCGACATTCCAGCACCTGCGAACAGTGTCCGGCGTGGGGACGGAAATGCACCAGATGTGGAAGAAGGAACCACTTTACTCGTTGTTGCTAATCAACCAATGTGAGTGCGGTCGTTCGTGACAAGTCCCCCGCAGATACAGAACATTCAATTCGCAACGTGTCTCGGAGGGTACCGTAAAAATGTGTATACGCAAGATATTTTTATCGAAGGCAAAGTCGTACGATTCCAGTTATACATAGGTGCTATTGTCAACATTCTACCATGGAAGCACTGTTCCGGAGTATGCATTCGATCCGATCAAGATTGCTTGCATTTGTGGAATAATTCCAAACTTCATCCGAAGGGCTTAGTTACAAGTGAAGTCGTTAACCGAAGAGATGGAGCCTCCTATCGACTGGAGTTGGGGATCATGGTGGAGGAGCTCACGCCGATTCTCGGCATTGATTCGATCCAGTCTCTCGGTGTTGTTGTTTTTAATCATGACTGTTTTGTGCAGGGTTGCCAAGGAGAAACCGATATTAGTGACCAGTTTTCGTCTGTGTTTAGCCCAAGTTTGGAAAAGTTTGAGGGAAGCGCGCACTTGTCGTTAGATCTTTTAATACGACCGAAAGCGATACCAGCTAGGAGAGTTACATTTGCACTGCGTGACAGGTTCTCCGCTGAATTGGGCAAATTAGTGAAAGAGGGTGTGATTGCCAAAATCAACGAGCCAACCGACTGGGTTAGTCAAGTCGCAATCATTACGAAGAAGATGGGTGAACTGCAGGTGTGTATTGACCCGAAACCGTTGAATGAGGTCTTGCGTAGAGAGCAGTACGCAGTACCTACCTTAGAAGACATTTTGCCGCGTTTGGCCAAAGCTAAATGTTTCACGAAGGTAGACATCTCTTCGGCATTCTGGCACGTACCTTTGTAACACAGTTCGGGCGTTATCGTTGGCTGCGTTTACCGTTTGGCTTGAAGGTGTCGAGTGAAATTTTTTTAAAGCGATTGGTGCAAGTGGTAGACGATTTAGATGGTGTAACATGCGTTGCAAACGATGTTTTGATCTATGGCTCGACAGAAGAAGAGCATGACGGTAATCTCCACCGTTTCTTACGGTGCTATGTGCAAAAGCACATCAAGCTTAAATGTGAAGAAATTGAACTTCGAAAAGACGAGGTGATTTTCCTTGGGCACTTTCTAACAACACAAGGGGTCGGGGTCAATCCAGGAAAAAGTAAGGCAAATGGAGAGATGCCGCCTCCTAATGACGTGAAGGGAATCCAGCACGTAAACGGTATGGTGACTTACTTGAGTCATTTTATGCCAAAACTCGCTGATATCATGACACCGATCAGGAAGTTAACTCATAAAAGGAGTAAAGTGGAGTTAGGGAAAAGAACAGGAATTATTAAGCACCACATCAGCAACGCGCCTGTACTCGGGTATTACGATCCAGCGCAGCCTTTAGAGGTACTGTGTGACAGTAGCCAAGACGGAATAGGTGCTGTTCTTTTATAGAATGGAAGACCTTTGGATTTCCTCAGCCGAGCACTCACCATGACTGAGCAGCGCTATGCGCAGATAGAGGAGATGCTTGCGGTAGTCTATGCCATGGAGCGTTTCAACAATTACACTTTCGGAAGAAAAACAACGTTGTATAACGACCACAAGCCGCTTGTGTCGATAGCCAGGAAACAGCTGCACGTCGTTCCTCATCGCCTTCAGGGTATGCTTATCCGGTTCCAAAACTACGACGTGGATATTGTGTATAGGACTGGTGCACAGATGTTCATCGCGAATACGCTGTCAAGAGCTCAGCTACCGGTACCCGAGCATAATAAGGAAGAGGTCGAAGCAGTAAACTTAGTACAGCACCTGGCAGTGACAGAAGAACGTCTAAACGATATAAGGCGCCACACAGAGGAAGATGCAATGCTTTCAGCTTTGCGAGACGTTATTCTAAATGGATGGCTAGAGACAAAGAAGCAGCTGTCGAAGGAACTAACACTCTACTTCAATTTTCGGGATGAACTCTCTGTCTATGATGGTTTGCTGTTCAAGGGAAGCCGTATTCTGATTCCGTCAATGCTCCGAGGAGGAACGCTGAAATACGTTCATCGCGCTCAACTTGGTGCCAACTATACCATTAACCGAGCAAGAAAATTGAGCTTTTGGCCAGGAATGACGGGTCAAATAAAAGATCATGTATCGAATTGTGAGGCGTGCCGTTCACACGAAATCCGGCAGATGAGGGGACCAATGATGCTGCATGATGTCTCTGACCGACTGTGGCTAAAGGTGGCGGTGGATTTATTCAGTGATAACAGGGAAGATTGCTTACTCACGATGGATTACTATGGTGATTAGTTTGAAATCGATCTACTCACCACTACAACCACAGAGGCAGTAATCAACAAGCTCAGATGTCGGTTCGTGCGACACGGTATACCAGAGGAGCTGGTCTCCGACAATGGGCCCCAGTTTACCTGCGGTGCGGTCCAAGAGTTCGCAACCAAGTGGGAAGTCGTACACCAGCAAATCAGCTCATATCACAGTCAATCGAACGGAAGGGCGGAGTCGGCAGTGAAGCAGGCCAGACGACTGTCATCAAAGGCGAGAGCAACTGGAGAGGACCCGTACCTCATGCTACTGGAGAATCGCAACACCCTTTCAACAAATATCGGTTTGAGACTGGTGCAGCGCCTGTACAGCCGAAGGACTAGAACGCTGATGCCAGCATCTGCAATAGTTTTGCGCTCAGTTTCACCACAGCACGAACGATTACAGAATAAGCTGAGATGACGAATGACCACTCAGCAACGGTACTATGACCGCGGTGCACGGGTATTGCCTGAGCTAACAGTGGGAGTGGAAGTGTGGGTTCAACCACTACACGATAGTCAAGAGCGATGGAAGAGAGGTGTGGTGACTGTGCGGGTCGGTGTCAGGTCATACGAAACAAACGTTGGAGAAAAAACGTTCAGAAGAAATCGAGTGCATTTGAGACCACACCGGAGACAACAATGTGGATTGGAAATGGAGTGGCAGATGACGTGGGGCAAGGAGACCACGACCGTAGATACAGCGAAGACGATGCGGAGTGGCAAGGTGTACGGGGTGGATAGCAATATGCAGGCGCAAGAACACGAAAAAATGGAGGATGTGATGGTAGTATCAGATCAGAGTGAGCAGATGGACCAACCGAGCGAGCCAAACAGCCAATGGGAGGCGGACATGACGATTCGATCACTGGACTTGGAATGGACGATTGAGTGATTCACCGTGTGTTTAACTGAAGCAAAAGAGGAATCTCATCGACTCAGAAGAGTTGTTAACTATGGAGTTGGACCTGCAATTTATATCGAGGAGTTTGGCTTGCTAAACTGTAATCTTCGCTTAGCTGTTTTTGACGAATAAACGCTTGTCTCTGAAGGACTGAGTTCTGCAATAGCTACATTAGAAAGAATCAGAAGAAACATTTCTGTCTTGGTCGAATGTGTCTGTAGCCCAAAAGGAAGGGGCTAGCAATTGACATTGATGTTCTTTACTGAAAGAACAAAAAGCCGGATTGTGAAATTGTTTTATTCCCATGTGCATTTCACCAACTGCGTCGTACCTTAGAGTATTTAGGGTTTCCCGATCACTTATGCTGTGTACGTTGTTCGGACCTCATCTGCAGCGCTCTATCCCCACTATGGAGAAATATACAGTATAAGAGAAATCAATCAGGGATCACAATATATGGAACCGTTAGAAGTGGCACTCAGAATTGTTGCCGTAAGATGAGACAGTAATGTAGCTACAACTCATTTCACAAAACAAGATGGTCACAGTGACTAAGCGTCGAAACACGATCAGAGTAGAAAGTCTTGATTGAAAATTGCGAGACAGTTAACGTTTATAAGGGAATCAAAGGGCGGATTTTCGCGCCGACCTGGGTAGACAAAACAACAGGAATAATGAAAAGCGCAACACCTTAACTACCAACCCGAGATATCAGCATTTCGCTATCAAAAGCTCACAAGAGTGTATTTTGCTCGACCTCCTTAAATGTCTTGCGTCCTATGATTGAAGAAAACGTTGAAATAGGAAGGAGTGATGGTGAGAATACGTGAAAACGAACAGTGAGCAAACTGCCAAGCATGCGGTACTAATTTTAATCATGTAAGTAAGAGGTTCAATTCATAAGCACAGTCCAACAATGAGCTACGGAACCAGTGGAAGAATAACTTACCTACCAGAGTCCATACAAGGGAATAAGAAGGCTTCAACTTCAAGGCGCGACGGAAGTACAACACGGCCTTATCGTGTAGTCCGCGTAGGCCGAAGAAATTCCCCACAACGCAACACGTCTCCGGACGATATTTGTCCAAGTCAACGCAATGGTGAGCCAGATGAGCCAATTCCACGGAATCTTCTTTCACAAAGAGGACGTTGGAATAAGTATCCACGTTGTCCAGACGACACGGAGATGACTCAAATAGCTTGTGCGAGAAGAACATGGAGAACGGTGAAATATGTAATTCTAGTGCATGGCGACGAAGAGTAAGTCATAAAACACGGCGAAAAAAGTAAAGCCAATGTGACGTTACCTGATGAAATTGCTTCGCAGCCAACTCGATATCACGCAAGCCATCGTAGGCCAACGCGATTTCAGCTTGCAAGTTGTCACTTTTGCTGAAGCCACTGTTTGAAAGACGGTGGAGGATACTCAGTGCGCGTTCACTCTCGTTCAATTTGAGGAGAACCTGAAAAAGTTTGAAGACTAGATGGTTGCATAGGATGATGATGGAACGATGAAAGAGTTCAGCGCTTGTAAAGGTGGCCGACGTAGCTCCCGGTCTCTTAGAATGTGATACCAAGGAAGTAAAATCATGTATCATATACGACCATTTCGGGTGCGTCATTTTTACGGTGTAAAGAAGCTAGATGAAAACCGATAGGATAAAGCTAAGAAAGTTATAGAATGATGTGGAAGTCGGAAGCAAATTGGATGGATTCATATAGATGCTTCTCCTAATGCGAATCAGTAGCAGCTGAGGTAAGCGACGCAGGTAAATAACTGTCTGAAAAAGGAAACAATTCTATACGGCAAGTGCTTCGAACATCACTGGTAGGTGGTTGTGGTGAGGTGAGCTTGTGTAACCGTTGCAGAGCGATGAAGAGCCGATAAATGCAACTTGAATAATATCTAGTGTCATTGGATAATTGTTAGCAGGATCCATGAGTAGCAGAGATAAAGTCATGCGGTAAGAGCTAAAAAGTCCCCGGTATATGTTACCGCTCAAGCAAGAATAGCGTCAAATGGAAGCGGTTGACGTTGCCTGAGCACAATGGTGACTTGCACGCTATGTTACTAAGTGCCGCGTTGTCGAGACAAGCACGTAACGAGACGAAGAGTGTGTAGTACGTGTGGAAAATAAGTTTGGTTTAATATTATACAAATGTCCAAATAAAAAGAGCCATAGAGTAGCAAGGTTTTGGGGCTTTTTGACAGAGTTCGTCGCCACCAGCCTACCACTGTCACTTCTTTAGACATCCGGCTGCTCTAAACTCCGCCCATTAACCTACTTTATATGACACTGCCTGTAAAAGAACGGGGTGCCCAAAACATATTTACAGTTTCCTAACATTAAGAGATATTTTGAGACATTTCTCGGACAGAACAAGGGTTTGTGGCAAGCTACTTTCACTTTCGTGGTAATCAACGGTGTGCGACGAAGTTATATCCTCATTTGGAATTGAAGACATCATATAGAGCGTCATGGAAGGCTTCAAAGGTTCTGAGGCATAGCTTCTATCGTGCAACCGCGCGAATGAATTAGACCACGCCTTGCTTGGTGACAACTTCAAGAACACTGCGATTGAAGCAAATAAGTATTGTATGATCTTCGTCTCCACGAAGCGCAAAGGCTTCCTTCTTAAGGACTGACATCCACGTACTCAATGCTCATTCTTCAAGGTATGAATCATGAAAAAGGAAAGAGATTTGTTTAACTAATAACCTGCATTTTTACTGAATGTGGTTGTCTACGCGTGATCGGTGCTCACCGTTCGGAGGCCCCGGTGGTGTCTCCGGGACGTTTCTCTCACGGTAAAGTGAAGGGTCCCCAATATCTGTGTTCGCGTAGTGTTATTCTAAAGAAGTCAGCCCTTGCCAATTGGTGTGAATGACGTGCGTCAACATCTTGAAATTTGTTTGGAACAGATCAAGAATTCATGATTTAAGATGGGTTTGAAAACAATCAGTTGGTGTAATTGGATAACGGTTGTATAAGGAGGATAGCTAGTGCGTGCTGCGAACACCACGTTTGCAAGGATGATGCTAGACTTAGTGTCTTAGGTAATCCGGGCCCTTATTGTTGCACTAGTTGTTGGCTTCACAAAGTCCTACGCATACCGTGCTCGTGGTTACCACGTGGTGCATTATTCTCTTGCAAAGCATGGCACAGGAAGAGATTTCGCGGTGATCAACCTACCACATGGTGCCAAAAGTTCAACGCGCTGACTTCCGGTTTATCAACTGTCGGTCACGTGCATCCCTAGAGCCTGGGACCCGATGATGAACGCCGTCAGCTCGAAACACTAGGGGGGGGGACGGCGAGAAATCGGGGCCAATGGAAGATCCGAGTGGACTTGTGTTTGAATTCAGATTTTTTACGTCAGATTCGTTAAATTGGCAAAAGAAAACGAAACGGCATGTGACAACCCAAAAAGCATTTAATTCCAAATTTCGGTCCGTTTCTCTATGTATGACCTCTGCGCTTACGCACGTGTGTTTCGTGTTTATTGATGACTCTAGGTCTATTGTACAAGCTGATATGTATAATATTCTCACAAGTAAACTCAGTCCGACAGCCAACGTACATCAGGGAAAGCACTAGACAACTATTCCATCTTATATGAAATGGTCAGTAGCGCGCATCCGCCAGATCCCGCTGGATCCGAACCCATGACTATCTCTTATCTCTGTCACCTATGGATCGGACGTTTAAGCCGCTGGCTTGTAAGTGCAAAGTCATGAGGTTTCGGATACAGTAGGGTCCGATGAATGCACACTGCCGACGAGCTTCAATGGGATGCAATGGCCGTCCAGTGCTCTTCGGGGTGTGTGTGATGGGCTGCCTGATTGAGCATGGATACGACGAACTTTATGAAAAAATGTAATATCCTAAGTTAGTGCATAGAATGGAGATCTGGAGATAGCAAAATAGAAATTCAAGTAAAGGGCACCATGTAGACATCTAAAACTAAGGCCAAAAGCTTCGGATAAACAAAGGCATGAGTAATCGCCATGAAGAGAAGCTACAGCAGCGGCTAAAGGTATTAAACTCACCTTGGCCTCGAAAAAATAATACATCCATGCACTTTGGGAAGGTAGTTTTAGTCCGTTCAAGTGTTCCCTATCTTTGATCAGTTGAGACAATTCGTACCAGGCTGGCCACATGCATGGATTAATATTTATAGCACGCACAAGTAGGGCGACAGCAGTAGCTTCCATGGTTAATCGACGATATATTAAAGCAAACAAATAGATCACGAATGGATCAACGGCCTTCAAAAAATTCGGATCCGGGGAATTCAGATTTTCCGGATTTACTATAGTCTCAATTTCACATCGTAATGCAGATAGTTCCCTTGCACACTTGGCGCGCGCAGCTTGAGCCGGCTTCCCGTTTCCATCTTGCTCACATATACGGCGTAACTCGACCTCGTCGTTCGCACGGCGCTTCTCACAGGCCATGTAGCGAGCGTAAATGTACATAAAATAGAGAATCGGGTGTCGTGTGTCTGCGTTTTTCTCACCAGCGACCGAACAGACAGGAGGTTCGAGACAAGGCAAGAGAACTTGAGCACAATAATCGTACTCACGAGCATCGTAAAGGCTGCGGGCGAACAAAAAAGTGGAAAGGTGTTCCGTAGGAATGCTAAGTAGTGGAAGTTGTGCCAAATTGTCGCCGGAAGTAAAGTTAAATGCGGCTCCATTTTCTATTCCAGAAATTGCACACATCAAATCACCAAGCCATTTACAGCTCTGAATGAGACCACGAATTTGACAATCGAAGTATGTTCGCAAAAGATCCGACTGAACAGCAGATAAAGAAATAGGAAAACGCTCCTCATCCAGCCGGGTATTTGGTAGTTTCACGCTCATTGTCAGCGCGTAAACTGTACAAGGACGAAACAACCTGAAAGATACAATGGTTGAAATAAGAAACTGCGATTTCGAGTTGAAAGAACAAGTCTTGGTGAATATTTGGAGGCATAAAAAAGAAAGTGCCCAAAAAACAGAAGGATATGCCGACCCATTGATTGTGTGGCGTATTGTCTTAGGTTAATTCTCATCTAAAAGTTAGATGAGACAGTCATTAGTTGTCCAGCTGATAAAACACTTCAACTACTCTGAGGTATGCTACAAGTTGAGTTCTATGTGAAGTCATTCAGAAAGGTACCGTTGACGTTCACATCCACAGCCGTCTGCGACTAAAATCCAGAAACTTTCCATGATGGCTGTCCCTACACAGGGATCAAAAACTCTTGCATTGTGGTAGGCGTATACTCTGCACAGAATGCAAACTCGAAGTATTACATGAAAAAGTGTGGGTGGAACGCCTGATCAGTTACCATAAAAGTGTTGAATCCGCTGTGTTCTGTGGCATTAGGACCCACTTGTGATTGGTTTGTAAGCTCGAATGAGTGAGATCCTCATGACGTCGTTGATTTCCGAGTGAGCAGAGATGAAACCTGGAAAGCTTAGCTCCCTATGGATCGGTTCACATCAATACCAAAGCCTAAGCGCTTCAAGAGAGTCAGAAACACTCTGGAGCCGACGCAAAACTCATGCAAGCTGAGTCCGTTAACCAAGGCCATGGTTGTACAGGTAATATCATGATCTTGCATGAGTAGCACACATTTGCTTGACAACTTTTATCCGCGCGTATTTCTCCTACTGTGTATGGGAAACAGGAAAAATCATCAGCAGTACGCCGGTACCCAGTACCGACGCTTCAGTACCGCACAACTGCGCCAACAGTCGCACGTGGGCTTGTGATCCTTTAGGCTACGGGCCACAAGACTGTATTCAACTGTAAAGTGGAGGGCTCTGGTGAGCTGGGCGGATATTGCAACCACTAATGGTGGATTTCATCGTGTGAATATTGTTCCACTTACAAATTAGCTGGTCCCTTTCAAAACAGTTCAAAAGCTTTCCTTATGAGAACAATGGATAACGTACGCATTGAAGTAGTGGTCTCAGCATGGGGTGTTGAGCCAGACGTAATATCCCGTACGCCATAATAAGGCCCACTCGAAACAGACGGTATGACAGGGTGTACAGCCTTTGCATCGGTCTTCCAACAACATACCCCGAATTGACCAAAACAATCCATTAACAGACAAAAAAGGAAAAGGGACCGAAGAAACCCTGTTAGTTCTCATCTAATCAAGTTCCTAAATAATCAAGCGAAAAATGCTTTGCAAAAGATAATCGTCAACAGCTGTAGATCAGTCATTTGGATTGATGCATCACTGCCATACAACCACAAAGGTCTACGAAACGAAGAAAGCGACAAAAAGAACTTACCGGAAAACCTCAATGCCCCTAGCAAACATTTAGGGTTAAGGCGTCTTGGCAAAAACATAGTATTAAGGGAGTCAGTACATAGCAGGCCTTGAAGCCATCATCATCATCATCGTCATCATCATCATCATCATCATCATAATCATCGTCGTCGTCATCATCATCATCATCGTCGTCCTCGTCATCATCATCATCATACACGTCAGATAAAGGTAAGAAATACCTCAACATAATGCATAAAAGAAAAAAAGAAAATGGCAACGGATGCATACCAGCTGAGCTACCAGTAACGGGTGGGCATCGTTCCGGGAAGTTACCAGCTGGCTACTAAGCAGCAAAATATTTCTTATGCGAAATTAGATTAGGCTAAGATGTGAGTTCGTGGTTGGAGGAGGAGACTAAGGATGGGGTGGGACAAATAAAACCAGCACGAACGCCACTGAGGTCGGCTCCTAGTCATGTCAACAAGTGTATCCAGCGCAAGGTGTTTATTGTCTTTCGGGCCCCAACTAGGGAGCCGAGACGCTCCGACCGAGGCCAGCTTCGAAGTGAGGGCCTTTCATTCCTCTCGACTAAGTCATCGCTTGGTTACCTCTCTTCTTCTTCCATCCACACCCACGGTGCGCAAACAACGCCAGTCGCGGGCTAGCATGCGTAACATGTGGCCAAACCATCGGAGCCTGGTGCGCGAAATAACGGTGCTGAGCGGTTTATTTCGTTTTCCTGTGCCGTAAACAAGACGTCGAAAACGTTGGGCGCTCACATGGTGTCAAAATGGAGTCAAAATGCGAAGGCACCGGTAGTTGAACGTAACTAGCGTCTTCATGTCGGCTGATCTAAGGGACCAGATTTCACAAGAGTACAGATGGGTTAAACTTACCGCGCCATAAGTGGCGAAGGTTAGCAAAAACGACACGACCTTTTGCTATACGGTTCGTGATTTCATGTTCAATCCCACGGACGCTGATACAAAGTCCCTGGTAGTTGAATTTCTTAATGACTTCTTGCTGATTCCCACCAACGGTCAGCGCAGGAAGCGGTGCAGGCTAAGCTTGGAGGAAAGCTTTCCACTTCGTGAGTGCGAATCAAAGCGCGAAACGGGTGACAGCCAGGGCTAATCTGTCCAGTGCAGCTCGGCACGTTTGTGAGCTGTCACAGTTGAGGGCACACTCCAAGGCAAGAAGTCGTTCTCCTGAGATCAGCTTCCCACCTTCTAATCCGTGTCCTGTGAACGTGATTTCCATGACTTCATCAATAGCGAAGTTGAAGAGGAAAGGTGACAGCGGGCATCCTTGTTTTCCACCGCTGGAGATATTGAAGTGTGACGACAGCTGGCCATAATCCCTAACTGTGCTCAAGCTACGCGCGTATAAGGCTCGGATAATATGTACATATTTCTCGGGCATACCTTTCCTGAGTCCCAAAGAGCACATGGATGCACTGAATCGAATGCACCTTTGATATAGAGGAACACGACAACGGTGGGCACCCAATATATGTGACGGTGCTCAAACAGCTGAGGCAAAGTGAAGATGGGGTCGATGCAGCCACGGCCTTGACGTAACCCGGCTTGCTCTTCATGAGTGCCAGTCGTCAGAGAAGAATGGTAGAGGCAAGCAAATTGGGGGCGATGGAGATCAGACTGGTTGCTCTATGGCTGCTGCATTCTGATTGTGAGCCTCCCTTGAAAATTGGGACTATGATGGAGCGGCTCCATTCGGTTGGGACAGTTTCCTGTCCCCACAGTTTCACCATTAACTCGTGTATATCATCCACAAGAACAGGTCCCCTGAATTTGAAGAGAGCTGGTGGAAGATTAGCAGATCCCGCGGCCTTATTTAACTTCAGCATTCCGATCTCACGTTCGACTTCTGAGCGACAGGGCGGATCCAAAGAAACAGCCCAGAGAGAAGTGCGATCAATGGCCTGCGAGAAATCTAACAATTCCGACCGATTAAATTGCCTTTCAAAGTGCTCAGCCCAACACTTCAAGTGCGTTTACAATTTATGGATAGGCAGTCCACTCTCGTCACGTATCGTCTCACTAATACCACGCCTCCTGCGGCCCGTTTCTCGTATCAGACAGAATAACTTCCGATGGTTACCAAGGGCAGCGGTCATCTCCATCTCTGATGCAGATAACTCCAAAGCAGCCAGGAGAAGATTGGCCGCACATCGTCTGAAGCTGATTGTCTAAGCAATGGAAGCAAGCCAATGGCATCGATTTACATTGAAGTGGACGAAGGAGAATGATTTGCCATGAAACCCTCCAGTAAGTGCAGTACCTGAACACACAACAAGCGAGTTTCTGCGCATTCAGTGGTTGCCAAAGTACAGGAACTTCTAATCAGGTTATTATCGCCTGAAATATTTATTTTCACTCCACATTTTGGCTGTACATACTGTCATCAGGGTGCTACTTATAATTTCTGCCAGATGCACCTGGGCAAGTGGCTAAATCGTGACCCGAGGGGCTGCGTCAAGTTTCCGTAGATAGCGGAAACACAACACATTGTCTAACCAGCTAGCTATCGTGAAGATAAGGTTGCACCAAGGAGACAGTCTCCTTTCGGCATTCAATGCCCTGCGTCATAATCCTCCATCATAGCGCAGATAATCTCAGCAACAAACACTTTAAGAAGGCAATCTGACTAGGATACGGCAGCAGACACGCCACTGGTGTCGAGCCAAGCATAAGGGGCTTAACGTAGACTCCAGTCTGGAAGGCGAGACAGACAGGAGGCACCTAGTCTGCTCGTCAGTGACTTCATTCCCCGCTGCCCAGTCAACATCTGTCCACCTTCAGCCTTGCACCACTCTATATCTGGCAGGCAGAACAAAGCCTCTGTAAGCGGTGACCGCACATACTTAGTACGTGCCCAAGCCAACGCAACTTATTCAGTGCTATCTGTTGTTGTAAGGAACCAGCTTTGTTATCATTGCACAGTGCTTGCTGCTGCCATCCCACACGAGCAATGCTTCGCAGACAACGATGAGTAAAGACTTGAAGGTGCCTCAGATTTTCAGACCGAAGGGGCCACGTCGCACTCCCCTAAAGTAGGACGGCCTTACTGCGGACTTGTAAACACGGCCTTTTAAACGAAAGGAAACTATTGCCAAAGATGTCGCAGATTCTAACAGGCAGTTCTGACTTTCACAATAAGTTAACAGACATCAGTTGTTATGCGACCATCGTTGCTGATGCAGCTGCCAAGGTAAGTGAATTGATCAACTACCTCGATTTTCTCACTATCAATGGGTCACAAGGTGGCTAGTGTTCCTACAGCAACACTTTGCACTCTGAAGGTGCAAAGCGCTTGCTAACTACTCGGATCATTCTTGAGAGGTTGTTAAGGGTTGATTGCGCCAACTCAACATCGTTAAGCATCAAGACAATATCGTCTGCATAATCAAGATTACCTAACCCTACACCAAGCAACACCTCAACACTTGCATCGTAAGGTTTCGCAAGGGAACACTCCATGATGGAGTCCACGACGAAAGTGAACAAAAACGGTGAAGTCGGACAACCCTGAAGAACGCCGATTGCTGTCAAAAAATATCCGATAAATCACCGTGGGTCCAGACG